TAATAATGTATATACATGATAGTGTGTGTGCATAATAATGTATATACATGATAGTGAGTGTGCATAATAATGTATATACATCATAGAGAGTGTGCATAATAATGTATATACATCATAGAGTGTGTGCATAATAATGTATATACATGATAGTGTGTGCATAATAATGTATATACATCATAATGTGTGTGCATAATAATGTATATACATGATATGAGTGAGTGTGCATGTTCATCTACATATATATGTATACATGATAGTGTGTGTGCATAATAATGTATATACATCATAGAGTGTGTGCATAATAATGTATATACATGATAGTGTGTGTGCATAATAATGTATATACATCATAGAGAGTGTGCATAATAATGTATATACATCATAGAGTGTGCATAATAATGTATATACATCATAGAGTGTGTGCATAATAATGTATATACATGATAAAATGATAATTGTTGTGCATAATGTATCTACATGATAGTATGTGTGTGCAATAATGTATATACATCATAGAGTGTGCATAATAATGTATATACATCATAGAGTGTGCATAATAATGTATATACATCATAGTGAGTGTGCATAATAATGTATATACATCATAGAGAGTGCATAATAATGTATATACATGATAGTGTGTGTGCATATTATATCTGCATAATTGTTCATCTACATGATAGTGTGAGTGCATAATTGTTCATCTACCTGATAGTATGTGTGTGCATAATTGTTTATCTACATGATAGTATGTGTGCGTAATTGTTCATCTACATGATAGTATGTGTGTGCTTAATTGTTTATCTACATGATGGTATGTGTGTGCGTAATTGTTTATCTACATGATAGTATGTGTGTGCGTAATTGTTTATCTACATGATAGTATGTGTGTGCTTCGGGAATTGTTTATCTACATGATAGTATGTGTGTGCATAATTGTTTATCTACATGATAGTATGTGCGCTGATGGAATTGTTCATCTACATGATAGTATGTGTGTGCTTAATTGTTTATCTACATGATAGTATGTGTGTGCGTAATTGTTTATCTACATGATAGTATGTGTGTGCTTAATTGTTTATCTACATGATAGTATGTGTGTGCATAATTGTTTATCTACATGATAGTATGTGCGTTCGGAATTGTTTATCTACATGATAATGTGTCTGGTGTGGCGATATGCATGCATATGCGTTCTATACATACTGGTTTGTGTGCATGATTGTGTGTGGGCATGAATGTATGGGTGTGATATTGACTCATTCAGCCAACATGATAGTTTGAGTACATGAAGGTTTTGTACATGACAATAAATGTACAGGATAGTGCGTGTACCTGATGTTTGAGCATGATAGTCAAAATGATAGCGTTTCCACGAAAAAGGGTCTTTATGCTATTATGTTTACATTACAGTCTATTTTCAGTGTCTAGAAGGTTAGTGTACAGAATAGTGTGTCAACACAAAGTGTGTGTACAATATTCAATGTACTGATGGTGTGTGTACAATATTCTGTGTACATGATAGTGTGTGTACAATATTCAATATACATGATGATGTGTGTACAATATTCTGTGTACATGATGGTGTGTGTACAATATTCAATGTACATGATGGTGTGTGTACAATATTCTGTGTACATAATGGTGTGTACAATATTCAAGGTGAGGTGAGGTGAAATTGGGTTTAACGTCGTGTTTGAGAATATTTCGCTCACATGACGACGTGCATGCGTGTGTATGTGTATGTGCGGCTGCTTGTACTAGCCCAGACTGAAGCTGGTTTTATAGTGCTAGCCCACTGAGATACCATGCCGCAGTGAAGCATGAATACCCTACTCAGACACATTATACTGACTCCGAGCCGACCAGTCCTTGTTGTACCCATTAATGCCGAGCGCCAGGCAGGGACCAACAAGTACCATATTTTTACGTCTTTTGGTATGACGCGACCGGGGATCGAACCTGCGACCTTCCGCTCTCCGGGCAGACGCTCTAACCACTACATCACGGTCGTAGGCAATGTCCATGATGGTGTGTGTACAAATATTCAATGTACATGATGGTGTGTGTACAATATTCTGTGTACATGATGGTGTGCAATATTGTGTGTACAATATTCTGTGTACATGGTGTGTGTACAATATTCTGTGTACATGATGGTGTGTGTACCATATTCAATGTACATGATGGTGTGTGTACAATATTCAATGTACATGATGGTGTGTGTACAATATTCAATGTACATGATGGTGTGTGTACAATATTCTGTGTGTACAATATTCAATGTACATGATGGTGTGTGTACAATATTCTGTGTGTATGATGGTGTGTGTACAATATTCAATGTACATGATGGTGTGTGTACAATATTCTGTGTACATGATGGTGTGTGTACAATATTCTGTGTACATGATATTCTGTGTGTCTCTTCTTTTAAAAGGGATTCCGTTGTGAATTATCACCGCTATTTCTCTCAGAACAAGAGTTACAGCATAACAAACCAGATGAATACAAATCATGGTGATTTATTAGAAAAGCAAATGTTGCGTCTTTGGATCACAAATATAGCAATGTTCTGGTGTGTTTACAAGCTGTTACTATCAGAAAAATCAGGTGAACAATGCAAAAATAACTGTAACATTTCAAAATATAGTAGTTTAAATGTTTTACAATCTGTGAATATTAAAAATCACTCTGATAGGTTGTTTTGGAAATAGTGCAAAGGCAAGAAGCACCACTTTCAGACACTTCAACTAGATTGTTGTCACATGCCTGCCTGAGCCTGGTCATGACAACTGCAAAATTACACTGCATGTCTAATTTTCAGTACAAATACATTTACTAATGCAACTCCTATTAATAAACGTCAAAATAGAGTTCATGATTCGCAAACAAATCTTAATGAGATCAAGTCAGATTTATTATATATTACAAATATAGTTCAGGAAAACATCTAATGAAGGTAAAACATTTGTACAGCATTCAGAAACAGCAAGACCATATGAACTTAAAACTGTCATTCTCAGTTTTTCATTTCCTCCCTATTCGTCCTGTTGTTGTATGTAATAGTTTCATTACAACACCAGCACTAACACCACATCTGACTGTCTCCTTATGTTGTAACAGCTTCACTATAAGTTTTACACAATGCTACCTTCATCATACTTCCACTTATAAGACTGATTTAATTCTGTTATCCATTAATAATAACTGCTCATTAAAACCACATACTGTTTAACTAAAGAAAAACTGATACTAGTCCATTTGCACACATACAAATATGTGAGTAGTAATGGAGGCGTTCAATATAACTATACTTGGGGTAGCTGTGGACGTGACATACAGCTCCCAGGATGCAACAGTCAATACACAGTAGCACATATAATAAGTTCACACTTACATCAGTGGTCAGAAATCTGAGAGTCTTTCCTGCTGGTCTGTAGTTGCTGATATTTACAAGCCTGCATAGAACCTGTCACACTGTTACTCTGGGTTTGATCACGGGAAACTGTTTCTTGAACACTTCCAAAAAGTGAAGTTTTGAAATATAATTTATGGAATAAAATCATCACATTCTAAACTACCTACAGACGAATGAATGGGATGATGCTCAGCTATGGGACAACTATGGTTAGAGGTACATAACCTCTGTACCTGAGCAAAACAGGGGATCTCAACTAACCAATCTCTGCTGAAACTGTTACCAACCAGCATTATGTAACACATGCCACCTTGCAATTCATGCTCAAAAACAGCAATGAAACCATTTCTATGGCCAAAATTGGAACACAATAAAGTTCATGTTCTGCAGTAGTATCTGCAATTGTGAGGCCCTGGACTACCAGTTCAGGAATACGTGAATTTGCTGAAGAGATAAAATGTATTTTTTCTGTGCATAATACATGGGAAAACCTGTCCGAAAAATTGAATCCTGTAGCGGGGTGTGGCATTAAGCTTAGGTGCGAACTATACTTGAGAAAACATACATTACTATATTTCCCACCCTGGTGCTTAGGTGTCTGGGTGAGGACCTCATCAATGGAAGTGGCCTGGTTGTGTCACTGACAGTCTATGCAGTGGTCGGCCATGATGGAATGTGCTTGACATAAACAATACTGACCCCTACTACTTGCACACACTGTATACATCTTGACTACAGCAAACAGTGGGGGCAGACTGGTTTCACTAAGCAAACAAATACCTCTTAACAAACACACAGACACATTCAAGTCAAAACACAGAACCTAAAACTTCAACAAACTGATACTGATCATAACAGTAATTTTTCCCACTTTTTTTAAATAGAAAAGGTCTGAAAATCTTACTTGTTTAGTACTCTTTCTTGCCTCAAACTTTAGAGTAAACATGGTGTTAAATATATATATATATATATATGTTGAAAATGATAAACTCTGTACAAACACTCTCCTACATGGGAATATACATTGATATTTACTCAAATCAAAAACACTTTTTAGGATTACACAGCAAACAAATATGTAGACTTGTGAAGTATGTACAAATAAAACATCTAATTAGATGACAAAACTGTTGAGACACTGGATGCACCATACAGCAATTTCTTGTCCCCTCAGGATACATTTGTGACTTTATCTCATGCTAATGTTCCAACTCCAACACAACACTGCTAAAGATACATCAGAACTGCAGTATTTAATCAAAACTAATAGATATGTTTCTGTTCAAGTACAATCAGAACAATTATATACTATAGAGAAAAAAATATCTTATAAAACCACAACACTTTTCATTTCCTTGGTTAACAAAGTGAAAGTAGGCATGGAAAACAGAATAAACCTTCCTTAATTTTCACTGGAGTGATGGCTGCAGTCTCGATTGCTGCACTGTCGATTTGATGGTGGTGGCTCACGAGCAGTTCCAGCTTGTAGGAAACTATATATATATATATATATATATATATAGATAGATAGATAGATAGATAGATAGATAGATAGATAGATAGATAGATAGATAGATAGATAGATATATACTATATACACAGATTTGCTCCAGTGATTCTTTCAATGCACCTTCATTTACTGGATCATTAAGCAATGTTCCTCACACAACTTCACATATGTGTACCACACCTTGATCTGTACAAGCACACTGGCAAAAGTGAAAAATAAAAATAAAAGAAAATAATTAATTCTTGCAAAGTATTCCCAAATATTATGTTGTTTGAGTATTTGATTGTTACAAAACCACATATTCACCCTTTTGAACTGTGCTATTTCAAAGCATACTTTTCAGCTTAAAATAGTTCCTATGACATGCCATCCCCCCTCCCCACAATGTCCCCCTCCCCAAAACATATTAATCCATCTACCCAGGTCATTGAGTAACAAAGGTCATCTTGACCTGGAGGGATTTCCTCAGAAAAAGAAACATCATGGATCCAATATATTGGTTAGATGTTCTCCAAACACTTTCTTCCCTGTGTGGTTACACAGACTCATAGCCTGATCGCCTCTTCCTGCGACCAATCAAGTAAGCAATGAGAACAATAACGACCAATCCGGCTAGAGCAGCTCCCACTGCTATGGGCACAATGCTGTTGGTTTCTGTGTCAGCTGGGCACTCAACCATACCTGCAAGTTAAACATGGATTGTTATCAGGTTACCCACATGCAAATGGACCACTAATTATAGTTCGTAATAATGCTAGTTTCTTATATGCATTTTGACTCACTAATACGACAAGTATTCAGAAAAAAACAAAAACACACTCCCAAAACGCCAATAAATATGTCATATCTGTCAGTTTGATATAAGCATGTTCATTATAGTCTACTGTATGTACCTACACCAGACCTGACCAAGGGAGATAAATCTTTTATCAAACCATCTTAAGGTGAATACCACAAGAGGTATTTTTCCTCAGCATATAGAATACAGGAGTAAAGACTAGGTCTGCATTCATAAATGAGGTATCTACCAAGTTACCTGTGTAACCATTAAGTCTTTCAACACCAGTAAACCAGTAGTTTTTACTGCTCTGAGCTCACAGAGATCTTACTTGTTGAAACCTACATTTATCAAGGAAAATATTAGCTTGTAAAACATCATAGCTTCTACATGTAACACACCAGGAGTACTTTCGCAAATGCAACAAGTGATTTTATTGCAAAGGCAAAGTCGGCCAATCATATTACAGCAATGGATAACATCATTACGTACAAACTTCGATTAAATTTTGATGACAAGTTTGGGAGAAATCATGTTATTATGAACATTTGAAGCAAGAAATTGCCACCTATACATAAAATATGGAACTTGTTAAAGCATGTGTCTGAGAAAAGAATTGCAGAAAATAATTTCCAAACATGAATCTGTCAATAAAATATGGTGACTTGAAATCTAATTATGTTTCAGGCAATGTGAAAAGTGATTGTGAAAAAGATTCAATAAATGAATCATGTCAGGAAGGTTCCTAAAATAATACATGATTTTTATGTGACTACAGCCTGGACGGTTTTCCAGCCTGAGGTGTTAAATAGCTAAAGGAAGAAAACAGTCTGGAACCTCAGGTCCTCAGAGTGTGCCTAGCTGTACTCACCATCATTGCTAAAGGTAGTGCTGTTTCCTGTTTGGAATGCCTTGTACTGGAAATTTGATGTTACCAACTCCACATCATGCTCAGCTGTTATGGTCACATTGGCATTGCACTTGTAGGATCCCTTCTGGCTTGCTTCAAACTGAGCTAAGTTGAAAGCCATCACGCTGATCTTATCACCTACAGTCATAAATTAAAAGTAACTACCTACAGACTTGAAAAGTGGTTCTCTTGCTCTGCAGACAAGTCTTCAAAGACTGGTCTGTCTGGCAGGAAACAAGTGGGCCTGGGCAATGGAACAGAATGGCCTGAAGTTTTTGTCACCAACATATAATATATGTATACATTATGACTGTAGCTCATCTACATGACATGGAGAGGCATAACACAGCCCTGCTACAGTCCGTTTGAGTCAGAAACGGACTGATGAATTGCAAATTTTATCATTGTACAAAAGTGCCACATAAATATAAATAGTACACATGTTTATCATTTACAAATACCAAACAGCTTTCTTATATTTGAAAATTTTCCGGACTCCACCAAAAAAGTTCTTTAAGAAACTATTATCATTGAAAACGCAAAAGTTGTTATAATAATAATAATAATAATAGGCCATTTATATAACGCCTTTCAACGTCACAGGGATATGCTCAAAGCACTTCCTGAGCTCAAGTTAAAACTATATAAAGTTGGCAGGTACGGATGTTATCTGTCGCTGATGATAGTTTTTGGTGGAGTCTGGAAAATTTTCAAATATAAGAAAGCTGTTTGGTATTAGTAAATGATAAACATGTGTACTATTTCTATTTATGCGGCAATTCTGTACAATGATAAAATTTGCAATTCATCGGTCGGTTTCTGGTTTATATTTAACCATGGAAGTTCTGGGAGAATGATGGCATGGATTGCTGTGAATAGCTATTATCCAGTTGCTAGATATACAGTCCGTTTGAGTCAGAAACGGACCGATGAATTGCAAATTTTATCATCACAACTTTTGCGTTTTCAATGATAATAGTTTCTTAAAGAACTTTTTTGGTGGAGTCCGGAAAATTTTCAAATATAAGAAAGCTGTTTGGTATTAGTAAATGATAAACATGTGTACTATTTCTATTTATGCGGCAATTCTGTACAATGATAAAATTTGCAATTCATCGGTCCGTTTCTGACTCAAACGGACTGTATATCTAGCAACTGGATAATAGCTATTCACAGCAATCCATGCCATCATTCTCCCAGAACTTCCATGTTTAAATATAAACCATCACATCATGTCAAATCTTCATTCTCAATCATCCAGCATCATATTCCACAGCTACTGCACTGTAAAGGGTGTTGATCAAATCATGTCTGCTGGAGACCATACTCACCAGATTTATTCACTGGGATTTCTGGGAAGCGACTGTCCAAGACATAGTTGATTGTGACATTAGACAGCTGATGCTTGGTGTCTGAGGTCGCTGTGAGACTCGTTAATTTATCTTGTGTGAACACCATGGTGATACTCCAATTCCCCCGAAGAAGCTGAAAGTGACGGAATCCTCTGTGTCTCCACAGCTGCCTGTTATGTCAGACGGGCTCAGATCTGGTACAACAACTTCTACTGTCTTGTTCTAGAAACATACAATCATCACCCAGAATTACTTTCCTCTACACTGGACGCACATGGCAGTACATCAAGAAGAAGTACAGGCTATCCATGGATATGTAACGACACAAGTTGATACAAGGTATGTACAGACAGGTAGATATGGACAGACAAAATTGTTGAAAAGGTAGATCACATACGGGTGAAAACAGACACATGTGAGACAGGTAGATACAGGCCCAACAGGTAGAGACAGACAGATTTATTTCTGTAATTCTAAGCCAAAGGCCCATAATACAAAATGCAGGCACATTGGTACATCATGTTGTACATGCTTAAGTGTATTAGATACTGTATATATATAATGGATAAAACATTGTGATATCAGATTTGCTTCTTACTTTCTTTATATGACAAAGGAGACGTCCAAGACAAATTATTGTGTTTATGTTGTTGCAAGAAACTGCGGTTAACAGGTGTACATGTAGATACGGCTAGACAGAATGATGGGAAAGGTAGATACAATGGGCAGTTAAACTTTAACAGGTAGTTAAATCACATATACAGAGACAGGTCCAACAGGTAGAGAGGTAGACATTGGACATGCAGACAGACGGGAGTAGACAGAGGTATATATAGGACACTCATACAGACTGACAGATTACATACCTCTGTGTTCTTGTCTGTGTAGGGAATGTTGAGGACTAGGGCTGCCTTCATCACTAAACATGTTGTGTTACCATCTGACACTGTAAAATTATTGACAACTGGTCCTGATTGCGGCTTTGGAGTTGTTGTTGCTACCGATGTTGTTGTGACATCTTCCTTACACTGTGCTCCTGCAACAACCAAAAAGTGGGTTAACTCTTATTTAGTTCTTTAAGGTTGTGTACAATTATTACATAAAGTCAATAACTACTGCACAGAATTCAATGTGTGTTGTTTCCTTTAAACTGGTGATGTCCGGAGTACTGACCTTGCTGTCTGACAGTGACATATCTGCAATTGTTGTTTAAATCCAAGCAGTGAAATTGATCCAAGCAGAAGCTCTAACAGTATCATGGGTGGGTGGGTGGGTGGGTGTGGAGAAGGAGAGTGGGGATGATGGAATGGTACACAGGGTCGTCAATCTGGTCAATCACTGGCAAGTTATTGTCATCTTAGCTCCTTGTTCGGAATTTAGTACACAGGAACACTGACAAACACCCAGTTGCATCTTCCATACCTTTCTGCAAAGAGTGATGATGTCCAAATTGTTCAACAAAATCCATCCTTTGCCAGGAATACTGACTTTATAAATACGGTAAATGGCACTTGCATTTTCAGGAAACACTTCTTAAGCACTTGAATAACGCCAGACATAGATACAAGCTGAGATTTTACTGATGAACAAAAAAATATAAATTTCCCTAAAATATACATATATTTCTCAAACAGTAAATAATGCAGAGCAAAAAAAAAAGCAGATCTGACAATTTAATTTAACACTTATTATGCTGCTGCAAAACAAGTATGGTCAATACATTTCTTACAGGAACAACCTGAGGTTTATTCTAGTTGTGTCAGCGAGAAGTAGTGGTGGTCCGATTCATTGAAATAATCGAAGATTGGTTGTAGTGACTAAACGACCAAGCAATCGATCATAATTTCTCATAATCAAATAACAAACATTTTGGGAACACTTGTTTTCATTAACAATATTTTTCACATGGTTGGTTTTGTCTGTTACATTTCGTAACCACTACAAGCTCGTTTGAAGTCATGATTGAATATATCTTAAAGGCTCCAAGAAATTTATGTTCCTAACATACTAGTCACCCTTAAAAGATGTGAAATTTTGCCAAAAAGCCCCCAAAGAACTACATGATTTTTCCTTATTTTTATGTGCATTAACAAATTTCATAAATGACGCTCACCAATTATTTTCGATGATTGATCGGTTGCAATGAACCAATCATTAATTATGAGATTTTAACCAATTCCCAACACTAGAGAGTAGGTGGTGGCCACAGTACAGAAGACATGGTCTACACCAGCATATGCTTGATAGATGTGGACCTGGTCTACACCAGCATCTGCAGCTGCTTGCTACACATGGACCTGGTCTGCACCAGCATCTGCAGCTGCTTGCTACATGAGGACCTGATCTACATCAGCATCTGCAGCTGCTTGCTACATGAGGACCTGGTCTAAATCAGCATCTGCTTGCTACATGAGGATCTGGTCTACATCAGCATCTGCTTGCTACATGAGGACCTGGTCTACATCAGCATCTGCAGCTGCTTGCTACATGAGGACCTGGTCTAAACCAGCATCTGCAGCTGCTTGCTACATGAGGACCTGGCTACATGAGGACCTGATCTACATCAGCATCTGCAGCTGCTTGCTACATGAGGATCTGGTCTACATCAGCATCTGCTTGCTACCTGATCTACATCAGCATCTGCAGCTGCTTGCTACATGAGGACCTGGTCTAAACATCAGCATCTGCAGCTGCTTGCTACATGAGGACCTGGTCTACATCAGCATCTGCTTGCTACATGAGGACCTGGTCTACATCAGCATCTGCAGCTGCTTTTCCCCTGGCTGCGTTGCATGAGGACCTGGTCTACATCAGTATCTCCAGCTGCTTGCTACATAGCCATATTACATTTTCTGGAGGACCTGGTCTACATCAGCATCTGCAGCTGCAGCTGCTTGCTACATGAGGACCTGGTCTAAACCAGCATCTGCAGCTGCTTGCTACATGAGGATCTGGTCTACATCAGCATCTGCAGCTGCTTGCTACATGAGGACCTGGTCTACATCAGCATCTGCAGCTGCTTGCTACATGAGGACCTGGTCTACATCAGCATCTGCTTGCTACATGAGGACATGGTCTACATCAGCATCTGCAGCTGCTTGCTACATGAGGACCTGGTCTAAACCAGCATCTGCAGCTGCTTGCTACATGAGGACATGGTCTACATCAGCATCTGCATCTGCTTGCTACATGAGGACCTGGTCTACATCAGCATCTGCAGCTGCAGCTGCAGCTGCTTGCTACATGAGGACCTGGTCTAAACCAGCATCTGCAGCTGCTTGCTACATGAGGACCTGGTCTACATCAGCATCTGCAGCTGCTTGCTACATGAGGACCTGGTCTACATCAGCATCTGCAGCTGCTTGCTACATGAGGACCTGGTCTAAATCAGCATCTGCAGCTGCTTGCTACATGAGGACATGGTCTACATCAGCATCTGCATCTGCTTGCTACATGAGGACCTGGTCTACATCAGCATCTGCTTGCTACATGAGGACCTGGTCTACATCAGCATCTGCTTGCTACATGAGGACCTGGTCTACATCAGCATCTGCAGCTGCTTGCTACATGAGGACCTGGTCTACATTAGCATCTGCAGCTGCTTGCTACATGAGGACCTGGTCTAAACCAGCATCTGCAGCTGCTTGCTACATGAGGACCTGGTCTACATCTGCAGCTGCTTGCTACATGAGGACCTGGTCTACATCAGCATCTGCAGCTGCTTGCTACATGAGGACCTGGTCTACATCAGCATCTGCAGCTGCTTGCTACATGAGGACCTGGTCTAAACCAGCATCTGCAGCTGCTTGCTACATGAGGATCTGGTCTACATCAGCATCTCCAGCTGCTTGCCACATGAGGACCTGGTCTACATCAGCATCTCCAGCTGCTTGCTACATGAGGTGCTGGTCTACATCAGCATCTGCAGCTGCTTGCTACATGAGCAGGAAGCTGCTTCAGTGAACACTCGTGATTCTAAGCAAGTCACTGGAACCATAAAATAGCTCAAATGACATTCAGTCAAAAGAGCAAAAATTGCCTTCTTCTAGGTAATGAATCTTGCTCCACTGCATATTATACCCAATAATATTACCTTGTTTAGTGAAGTTGCCATCATCCAGGTTGAATGCCTGCCACTTGAGACTGCTCAAAATCATTGTAGAGTTATCACCGAAAGTAACAGGCTCTCCATCTTCGCATGTGTAGAAGGTAGTGTCAGCGGTGGCAATCTGTGGTGGGTCGACTTTCCCCTTTAGACGTGTTCCAGCTGTAACACAAAATAACCTGCAGCACTTCAACCTGACTTCCTACTTTGTGCACATTATGAAAATAGTGCACAAATGAAACCCTGAACATTAACATCAAAGCACTGCTGTTGGACCTGTGTATAAAAAGTGAACTGAACCTCATATACCTCGCACTCAGATACAGATATTGGTTGTATCATAATGTTATCATAGGCTGATGTTACTGCGACGCATGATCTCAATAGTACATTCCTAAAACATTACAGAATATTGTCATGGTAACAAAAAGTCATCTTAAGTATCTTTGCACTAGAAGAAGCAGTTTCCTCACAAGCAAACAAACTTGACTGCAGATGATTGTGCCTCCAAAAATCCTATCATCATGACCTACTCATAGTTTTAGCAAGACCTCCAATATTTCAGTTATAGTTATTTCTGAAAATGTTAAAGTCATACCATGATTAACTCAGAAGCAATCTGTACCTATACATACCGTATATGACCGTCCATAAGACGACCCCATGGATAAGATGACCCCCCAAACTTGACCCTTAAAATCAGTGTCAAAATGGTATGTTTCGTGCATAAGTCGATCCCCAGCGATGAGGTCCTAATCGCGGCAAACACAGACCACAGACAACTGGCAGTTACCAATAATTTTAACTTTGGTCCACATTATTCAAAGAATTCACAATCATATATATTGTGTCTACTCACGGATCGAAACGAAGTGTAGTTGACAGAAAATGCATAATATATTGTTTCGCTAAATATCATATTTATTGTAGCAACAAACTGGCTTGCTTATTTTACCCCATTCAACAATCACGAACTGATTACCGCCTCGTTTTCCATTGACTGCTAGTTTACAGTAACATCGGTAAAAATGTGTGAATTTAAATAGCTTCCGTATTTTACCCCATTCCATGTGCGCACAAATTCTGCTTACCACGTTCATGAGGGTCCGATAACCTTAGTGTTGATTATATATATTTTACATAAAAACTATAATTAAAATTACACAATGCTAGGTTATATTTCTGTGGGTTAAATAATAGTACTCTGTATTATATGTTACTGACGACTGTGTCAGAATTCGTCCCGTTATATTATTGTGCATGTTTGAACTTGTTCGCTGGTGATTGCTATTTCCGGCTCAAAGACACACGGTAATCTTAATCTTAATTAATTTATAGAGCAAAAACTGTAATTAAAATTACACAATGCTAGGATATATTTCTTTGGGTTAAATATTAGTATTCTGTATTATATTTTACTGATGACTGCGTCAGAATTCGTCCCGTTATATTATTGTGCATGTTTGAACTTGATCGCCGGGAAACATGTGCACAGCTGATTGCTATTTCCGGCTCAGATACACACGGTAATCTTAATCCCTGCAAATAATACAATGCCCAGCAAAAACAACTTAGAACTTAAAAGGTAAATAATCTTGTCTAGTGATGTTTAATTGCAAATTTGATGTCTCTACTGACAAAGTCGTGTTCTGTTGTTTGTTCACGCGAAGTGATAAGATGTTGTTTTCTTACCCCTGGAAAAAAGTTTGTCCGAAAGCATAACCCAAGGATAAGACGACCCCCTTCTACAGACTGCTTTTTTTGGTCCCCAAAATTCGGCTTATAGACGGTAATATACGGTATATCCTAATACAATATTACCCACCTGAGCATTGTGCTGTCTGAAATTATGACTCTCAAACATTTTCCACAATAACATTTATAAATATTACAATACATTTTATTTGTATAGTACCTATTCTATCACACTTAGCGCACTTTCCATTAGTCTCCAACCCTGGAGTGGAAATAACCCTGACAAACCTCTAGTATCCCCTGGCCCAGCAAGCAATACTTCACGAACATCCGAGTGAGTGTGAGTGAGTGAGTGAGTGAGTGAGTGAGTGAGTGAGTGAGTGAGTGAGTGAGTGAGTGAGTGAGTGAGTGAGTGAGTGTAGTTTTACTCCGCCTAGACAATCCAGTGATCAACAGCATGTGCATCGATCTGTGTAATTGGGAACCTCCAAACAAGTCAGCAAGCCTGACCACCCGATCCTGTTAGTTGCCTCTTACGACAAGCATGGGTTACTGAAGATCAATTCTAACCCGGATCTTCACGGGTTTATGCTATAAGTGTCTGAAGAGGTTTGATCACGCAGAAGCAAAACAAAACATTTTGCAATCATCAGTATCAGTTTTCCATGCTGATTGCACTGCAGCTTCAATTGCTATCTGAATCCATGTAAGAAACAGTTGAAAGTGCTTGTACAACACTACCAATTGTTAAACCATTGTAATGCTTCAGTAAATGACAATGAAAAAATATTTACGTTGCTTGGCATCAGGAAATCGAACTGAATCTTGAACAACTGAGAACCTGATAGATTTGATGCTTGCTGTGTCACTGACGTCTGTGAATTCAAACGTGACACTGTTGTTATCAAAGTTGATAGTGAGACTCGCATTCCCATCAATGTCACACATGCCATCCAATGTGTAGTTCTTTGGAACACCAAACATTTTAGATGAAATCTGCAACAGAATAATCAATACTTCATTGTATGTCTGGGCATACAAATGCATCCTGCTTCTAGAGAGAAGAGGAAGGTGAATTCCCACCACTCATTTACACCTTACACACATGCACTGTATAGAAGATCTCTTCCATGCTACATCCACATCTGACATGTCTATAAAGATGAGACACTATTTCAGTAGACAGAACATTTCTCTGTACTGATGAAGAAAAACACTGATATTTTTAAAATGTTACTCAATTGAATTTTTATGGCGAATGTATACAATCATTTTCGAGGAAAGATATAAAATCACTGGTTACAGTATCATTATTGTGCAGGATAACTTACAGAATTACAGATCGATACTATATTGAGGTGGAACATCATAGTGATGAGCAATATGTCATGTTCTGATAATAAGAGCTAATGCAGCTGGACTCATTGAAACATCCCCTCTTCCATAGATTACTAACAAAAATCTTAAATGAGAGGTCTGCTTGTTGTCAATGCTGCAGTTTACAATATTCACTCGTCATACCAAAAGACGTTAAAATATGGTACTTGTTGGTCCCTGCCTGGCGGTCGGCATTAATGGGTACAACAAGGACTGGTCGGCTCGGAGTCAGTATAATGTGTTTGAGTGGGGTATTCATGCTTCACTGCGGCATGGTATCTCAGTGGGCTAGCACTATAAAACCAGCTTCAGTCTGGGCTAGTACAAGTAGCCGCACATACACATACACACGCATGCATGTCGTCATATGAGCGAAATATTCTCAAGCACGACGTTAAACCCAATTTCACCTCACCTCACCTACAATATTCTCAGTGATATTTGGCATGATAGGGCATGTTGGGGCATGTTGATGGCTGACCACCTAATAGACTTAGAGGCCCCAATACAAGACAGGTTGATGGTGATCTATTGTAAGCAAGAATACCCACTGATTATAGGCTCCTCTTTACAATTCTGATCTAGTCAAGTAAAACATATCATTCTTTTCTGGTAGGCACTGTTTTAATTACAGAGATTATGATTACTGTGTGTAAACAAAACTGAAAACAAAGATCAGCAGTGCATATATTTCCTCCCAATCTTGTCAGTGATTAAATCAAAACAAACCCAAAAAAATATCCAAGAAATTTTATCCAGTGATGAAAAATTTGTAAAGACCATGGCATTAGCTACTGCCTAAATGAAGTCGGCAAGACCTTCAGATCTAAAAACAAAACTGTGTTCAAATACTAAGTGGTGCTGTTAACAAACAAGACCAACTCACAGTTGTGTTGTCCTTGGTTTCATACATGATGGCCAATAGGATGCCTGCATCCATGCGAATACAGGTGTCTGTGCCATTAGAAAACTCATACTGATTCAACTGAGGAATGGGCCTTGTGGTGGTGGAAGGAACCTCTGAAGTGCTGGGTTCTTCGGAGGTGCTGGGTTTGTCAGAGGTGCTGGGTTCTTCTGAAGAGCTGGGTTTGTCAGAGGTGCTGGGTTCTTCTGAAGAGCTGGGTTTGTCGGAGGTGCTGAGTTCTGCTGAAGAGCTGGGTTTTTCTGAGGAGGTTGATTCCCCTTCGGATGTTGACTTGACATCTGCCGCACAGTGCTTCACTGGAAAAATTATTACAATCTTATACAAGGCGATTTTTTATAATATCATTATTGTAGTTCCTTCGAAAGAAGTAGCAAATTCATCTATTTTAAAACCCATTGCACGATCTACATTTTACAAGTGTCAGCTTATGTGGGACAGTGACAATACAATAATATTACAATGTGTCACAGTCATAACTGTCAGCTTATGTCAAGAGAAAATTACAACAAGAAGACAATGTCATCAATATCCCTCGCAATGGCAAAATACTCTTTATGAATGTGTCTACTAGGTATGATTCTGTCAGATGTTTTGGAGTGTATACAGCAAAGTGGAAGGAGAGTATTGAAAGGTTTTTAAGTTCTTCTCCAGAAAGGAGCACTAAGACCAAATTCAGTCGAAGGCAAACTTGTTGGCATGGAAATGCAAAAAAACATTTTATTCAGAATACAGGCACACAACATGATGCCATGTCACTTTCTGTTTGTGAGGATAACACATGTTTCGACACTGATAACATTTAGGATTTGAGCCAAAACTCATCTGGTCCACAAATACAAAAAAGTACTAAATCCCAACTATTCTTTGGTTTGAAACAAATACTTTAAGTTCAGGGGAAACAATCTATTTTTTTCTCAGCCCAATAACCTAGGGATGCTAAATCATCTGTTTGAGCCCAATAGAATCCATGAATATGCATGAAGAAAATAACTCACCATCAGTGCTATATGCTCCTTTAGACAGGTTAAAAGCCTGAACCTGTAGATTCTTCAGTGAAAGAACAACAGTGTATGTTACGTTGTTACTAGAGGTTGACTTGAACTTGAATTCCTGTTGAGCATTACACACGTAGGACTGGTCCGACTTGGACAACGTTTCCATCCCTTCATCATCTTCTATGACAACTGCAACATGACAGACTTAGTATTATTTCCAAACATCATAGTTAGTCAGAATGTCATTGAAGAGCTGAATACAACACCAAACACACTGGCAAATCCAAGAGATAGGTGCAGCAGCTGTATTAGTTATTGCCTTGATCACAGATCATCAGCATTGTGTACTCACCTTGCACCTCCATCTACTACATTTGTCATTGACCAATGACTCCATGATAGTCAAATAGTTGGATAGAAACACATCATTTTCTTGGAAGATGAAACAAATATTCCAAAATGAAGCATTAGGAATCAATTTAGTTTCATTTATAACTAGTGTTTGCCACTGATATGGCAATGTCCCCCGCCACTAAAGAATCCCGCCGGAATATCTATATTTACCACTTTTTATGTTTTGGTCACATAAAAGATGCCTGAAATGACTGGTGTCTGCATAATCACCCAATGTAGGCTGTCAACATAATTGAAAACATTGGGTGCAATGTTTTATGAGATAAGTTAAATAAGTTTGAAAAGCGGTCAAAGTGTCGTGGTGACCTTGAAGATAAGGTCAAGGTCACCCAAATCAACTGGTGTCTGTGTAATCCCCCAATGTAGGCTGTCACCAAATTTGAAGACATTGGGTACAACAGTCCATGAGATGTCGCGTTAACTAGAGTTTGAAAAGTGTTCTAAGTGTCATGGTGACCTTGAAGATAAGGTCAAGGTCACCCAATGTAGGCTGTCACCAAATATGAAGACATTGGATACAACAGTGCATGAGATATCACATTAACAAGAGTTTGAAAGTGTTCAAAGTGTCGTGGTGACCTTGAAAATAAGGTCAAGGTCACCCAAATCGACTGGTGTCTGCGTAATCCCCCAATGTAGGCTGTCACCAAATTTGAAGACATTGGGTACAACAGTTCATGAGATATCGCGTTAACAAGAATCGGGATGTACATACGTACGGACGCCGCTGAATACATATTCCCACGTTCCGCGTTGCATTGGGGGACAATAAACATTAATCATTTCAAGTAAATGATGCAGGATATCTGATAAGTAGTCAGACACAAGCAGTTTACTTCAAACTGTTCACCAGCCAGTTTAACTGTTGTCAGATTAGGTTTACGTCACTACAGAGTGGAAATGCTGAAAACAAAGTATTGTCAACCCTACATGATGGCATAAAATTATTCTACAAAGTGAAGATTATTCAATAAGCAATTTTATGTGAACAGATGTTTTAAAACAACAGTCAATGTCAAATATAAAAATTGGGAGGTCTATGACCCTGACCTTGCTGTGATTGTGTCTATGCAGCACAATATTCTAGGTATTGTTCACAAGTGTGTTTCCAGCAATGCACTCTTATTCTGAACTGGCTCATGTCTCTTGCATACTTGAACGTTTGGAAGGAATTTTGGTCATGAGCAGACAGAACAGACTTGTAAATTGGACCAGAGACTGAATATCATATCTGCACACTAATACTACAGACCAAAACTCCCAACTTCAGCTGTACAACAATTATGTAATTTTTCAAGTAAAATTGATATTTTTATACTTATCCTGACTCATGATCTTTTTCTTATCCTGACTCATGATCTTTTGCTTATCTCCCTTTCCTTTTTGAATGGTAGTGGAACACTTGAATCCCTTGAAGTTCCCTAAGCGGACGTAAAAATACACTCACCCATGAGTTACCTCCCTTTTGCCCTTTTCCCCGCGCAAACAGTCATGTGACCAGCCTTACTTGTCACTCTCTCCTGATTTTCTGCCCATGCACTTGGATCTGCTGTGAAATCCACAGTGTTTTCAGCGGGGAGGTTGGGAGGGCTTCTCGTCATGAGTCAGGATAAGTATAAAAATATCAATTTTACTTGAAAAATTACATATTTTTTCTTATCCTGACTCATGATCTTTTGCTTATAGAATCCGACGGATTGGTGGTGGGTCAAGCCACTTCGTGGATTCATCAGCTGTCCTTAGATACGTCCTGTATCCCCCCCCAATGGGAACTGCATAGCGGCATTTCTGAGATCCTATTCTTCCAACTGCCAACTTCCAACTTGGGGGGACCACATCTTGTGTTACTTCCATCTCAGACAAGTTGAATCATCTTGATTCATGTGGCTTCAGATAAACTAGTATCTTCTTATTACTAGATATCTTATAACAACCCATAGATTATGATAAGATCTTTATCATAAATGAGTTGCGACCCCTTCACGTACAGGTAAGACTGACTGACTGAATTTGGTTTTACGCCGCTTTAAGCAATATTCCAGCAACATCACGGCGGGGGACACCAGAAATGGGCTTCACAAATTGTACCCATGTGGAGATTCGAAACGTACAGGTAAGAACTTTACCTGTACAGGATCTTTAATCACTCATGCTAGTCTGTCCTAGACTGTGCGCATGGACTTTTAAACTAATACTTTTCTTTAGTAAAAGTTATCAACAAGTCAACGTGATAAAGGGTGAGATTTTCCAACTCAGCGCGCCTTTGTGAAGCCGTTAGTACCTGTGCTACAACGAGAGGCCCAAATTGGTGAATGCCTGAGACGTCTTCAGTGGCTATGTCTCGGAGGTAGTGGTTGGCAAACACTGTGTCCGACTTCTAAAAGCAGCCCTCCATAATTGCTGATATAGAGAAATTTCCATGCAGAGTCAGTGTTGACGTCAATGCTCTGACTTCGTGTGGGTTGGAAGCTCTTGGAGGTTCTAGTGCTGCCGCTTTATAGTCTCTCAATATGACGGCTCTCATCCAGAACGATATCGTCGTTCTTGAGACTTCTGCTGACGTCTCTGTGGATAATGGGATGAACAGACGCTTGAATTTTCGTCTCCTTGTCTTAGTCTTTGAAGATATATCTTCAGGGCTCTGACCGGACACAAGGATAGGATTGTAGATAGCGCTGGTACGTAGAACTGTCCATCTGGCTGACCAGGTAGTTGGTTCTTGGCAATGAAGTCCTATCTAAGTCCTAGATGAACTGCAGCATGTTGCCCCGTGTCGAATCTCGTTCGACCAAAGTCCAGCGCATGTATCTCTGATATTCGAGCTGCCGTGTCTAGCGCAAGCAGGAACAGAGTCTTCTGTGTCAGCAGCTCGAGTGTATTAGATAATGTTGAACCTTTCAGATGTCTGGTCTGTCTAAGATGACACAGGTATTCCGCCACTTGAGGATGAGTAGCTTTCATCGTAATGAAGTCTTTCCGCCTTGCATAAGTCTCAAACTTCAGCCACTTGTCATCATACATGTTACGAATAGATCTGCATAACGCTAGCCTTACTACCTTGGCTGCCCTGGCGGAGTATCCTCTTTTCTTCAAACATGTTTTGATACGGTCCAAACGTGTAGCTGGAACAGTGTTGGGTTTCTGTGGACTTGCTTGGTGTGCGGATGTATGAGTAGGTTCGGCCAATCTGGTAACTTGATTGTTGGACTTCCGAGATCTTCTATTAGGTCTAGGAACCATACTCTCGCTGGCCAGTATGGCGCGACCAAGGTCAGTTGTAGCGCCTGTGTCTGTTTGATCTTCAACAGTACTTTTGGTAGTAATATCAGTGGTGGAAACGCACAAGCGTTAAGTCCTTCCCATGATATGTTCAGTGCATCTGTTGCCAAGGCTTGAGGATCTGGAACTGTGAGACAAATGTCTGTACTTGTTTGTTGAACCACGTGGCAAACAGGTCTATGCATGGGGATCCTATTTCCCTTATGATGAGCCTGACTGACTGACTGACTGACTGACTGACTGACTGACTGACTGAGTTTAATTTTTACGCTGCTTTTAGCAATATTCCAGCAATATCACGGCGGGGGACACCAGAAATGGGCTTCAAACATTGTGCCCATGTGGGGAATCGAACCCGGGTCTTCGGCGTGACGAGCCAACGCTTTAACCACTAGGCTACCCCACCGCCCCTATGATGAGCCGAAATTCTTCTGGATGGAGTATCCATTCTGTAGGTGACGGGTGCAGTGGTCGGGAGAGTGTCTGCAAGCACATTCTTGGCTCCGGATATGTGACACGCCTTTATCCAGATGTTTGCCTCCTCCATGATGTGGAACAACTGGAATGTGAGCTGTAGTACGCTTGGTGATCTTGTAGATCCTTGCGGATTTATGGAGAATGCCACTGTAGAGTTGTTCGTGTGGACCATCAGCATTCTGTTGATCAGTGAGCTCGATCATAGTTGTAAGGCGTTGATCACAGCTTTCATCTCCAGCAGATTGATGTGAAAAGGCTGCTCTGTTTGGACCACTTCCTTGATGCAACTTGATTGTTGAGATGTGCACTCCAACCTTGTACCAATGCGTCTACGTAGAGATGTGTGTCGAAGGCGGGCTCTTGTAAATGGGTCCACCAAAGTAGGTTCCTCTTAAGATTGTCTGGCAGCAAGATAGGGTCGATGCTGTCCAGATGTTTTGTCAGGAACCGTTGCAGCGGCCTTAGTTGTAATCTTCCTGTGCGAGTCAAGTCCTGCGCCGAGGTTAGTAGACCGAATTGACATTGCCATGTTCGTAGTGTTAACGGAGAGATGACTGCTTGTGGAATCATGGCTTGTATCTTGACCCAATGATCTTCTGGGACCACAATTCGATTCTGTGTTGTGATAATTCTTATTCCCAGCAATAGAAGATCTTGTTTGATTCTAACTCCAACTTCATCAGGTTCACTAGCCATCCTAGTTGCGTGAGCAACTTAATTGTGAAGTTCAGCTGCTGTCTGACTTGATTGGCACTTTGAAGAACCTGTATGCCGCCGTCCAGATAACCGGCACTGCGTAGACCTCGATGCTGCAGATAGGTGCTGATAGGCTTGGTTATTCGTATGAATAATCATAGAGCCGACGATATTCCAAACGGTAGGATGTTCCATTGGAAGTGCTAACCTCTGATTGCAGTGATGATACATCATTCTTCCCCTTATATACGCAGGCGATCTGTGTTGACATCGAAGTTGTCTATTTATAGCAAGGCTGGCTCCAGTGTAGCATCACAGGGGAC